GTTAGCCAGGATGGTCTCGATCTCCTGACCTCGTGATTCGCCCGTCTTGGCCTCCCAAAGTGCTGGGATTACAGGCTTGAGCCACCGCGCCCGGCCTCACAATTCTTAAGATACTCAAGTTTCTTTAGTGTTCTCTTACTCCTGACAAGTAATTCTGAGAACAATATGAAAGACAAGCATGAAATATGAACAGTAAGATAATTCAAGAACTGATGTTAAAAGTAACAATACTTTTAACCTCAAAACTCACAAGGAATATAAAATATTATATTTAGAGGCAAATTTCAGAACTAAGTTTGAAGATAAACCAAATCTGAGGTCAGGCTGTATAACAGGGAATTCCCAAAGAAATAAGACAGCATCAGAAATGAAGAAGAACCCTCTGATTTAGAGGCAGGAAACCAGCAGTGAGAGAGTCAACTGTGGAATCTCAAGATATTAAATAAAATAAAAACAGACACTTGGGGAAGTAGCCTTGTCCAGAGGAAGGAGTAAAGGATAGTTTCTCATCAGATTTCCTGGCTCCACTTCAATTTTACAATACTTTAAAAAAAGGCAGTTACTTAAAAGTATTATGAAATGTAATTTGATAGGGTTTTTTTTCTCTGCAGGATTTCCCTGGCAAAAACATAACACCCAGCAAGATTTTTGCTTGGCTCTACTGGCCACATATACCTGAAATGCTTCTTCATACATGCTGAGCGCCCTAGAAATGGAGGCTGTTGGTGGAAGCAAATACCAAAGATGGATAGCCAGGGAGCGTTTCCAATCCAATTGGGAGCACACGTTTATTTGCTTCTTTTCTGAGAGCTGCCACACCTGTGGGAAACAAAATCATCACCACGGCTATATTCTACCTTGTCATTACCTGTGTGTGCAATAACACTGAAGTGAATATTCACTTATTCAAGGAACATTTTAAATGATTCAGATATAAAATATACAAATATAATAAAATCTCAGGAAGTGAGAGGGAATATTGATTATTTACTTATTTTTATTGACCAACTGATCGATCGATTGATACACAGTTGCACTATGTGGCCCAGGCTGGCCTTGAATTCCTGGTTTCGAGCAATCCTCCCTCCTCAGCCTCCCAAAGCACTGTGATTACAGGAATCAGCCACCGTGCCTGGCCCCAGAATTTAAACAAATAATCAATCAATACTCAAATGAGATGAGAGCCACTGAGAGCAGAGAGGAGATCTTCTCACTGTCTAAGGTTGTCAATGTATAAAGCTTTAAAATGAGCATAAATTCTGACCAGTTACATTTTTATTTCTGAAAATTTAATTTATAATACTTTAAGATAATAATGTAAGAGGTAGGCAGTGATAAGAGAAATGACTTAAAATAATTACAACCCAACAGTCATAAAATGGAACATAAGTGGCTATAAAAAAGAATAATGCCAGCCAGGCGCTGTGGCTCATGCCTGTAATCCCAGCACTTTGGGAGGCCGAGGTGGTTGGATTACCTGAGGTCAGGAGTTCCAGACCAGCCTGGTCAACACAGTGAAACCCCATTTCTATTAAAAATACAAAAA